GGCCAACACCAAGTTCCCACTTCCCTTTCCTCTTCCAGAGAAAGCCAAAAATCAGAAGAGGTCTTGATCTCTTGAGAGCCCTCTCCACTTCTGGCTCCTCACCTAAACCTCCCTCTTCACCTCTCCCTGCCCCCAATTCTACACCAGCCCTCCTGAACCTTCCTGGCTTAGCCTGCAAAGGCCTCACTGTGGGCAGAGGAAGGTGGGCACCATGACGGCAGCAGCACTGCATGCTCTCTGAGCTGTGCCCACCTAGGACCTTGAACACAAAGTAGCCAGGGGGTGGCAGTGAATCGTGACAGTGGGAGGGACGGATTCCACTTAGGCAGGCCGAACTGAGAGGGAATGCAGGGCTATTAGCTCTCGCCTGGAACCGGATGAGGAGAGCTAATCTCAGGTTGTCATGGTGATAATTCTGTCCAGTTCCACACAATGTTCAAAACTCCTGAGACCAGGAACACCAGAATGACAGACAAAGCCACTGTCTTTCTGTGGATATGCTCCAGTATTGTTAGATCAAGGCCTCCATCTGAGCATACAATTCAAAGGTGAAAAATATTCAATTTACTGAAACTTACTTTACAGCCAAAGGTTTCTTCTTTTCATAAATTGAGGTCCCCTACTCACCCATGAAGTAAATGTTGAAGGGGTAGGAGAGAATCCAAGACATAGCCCTTCCCTTTAGGAATGAACCGATCTCAAAACTTGGACCCCAGGCCAACAACACACCTGGGAACCTGCCAGAATGCAGGAGCTCCGTGTCTCCCAGGCCTAAGAATGAGGAAACCTGTAGGTGGGACCCAGCAATCTACGTTTTTATAAGCCGTCTAGGAGCAGGATGTGTTCTCCTGTCTATGACAACCAAGCAATAGAAAAGCTACAGCTGGATAGAAAATGAACCCAGAGTGCCATTCCTACCTCCAGGTGAGTATAGAGGGGGCTGGGGCAAGGCACCCAGGACAGACTAATAACCCGCAGATCTTTTCTGTCCTATACTGCCATAGCCGGCCTCATCCACATCCTCTAGAGGGTAGCATCCAGGCTGGCCAGCCCTCCCTCAGCTGGAAGGCTTCCAGGCTGATGGATGCCGATGGGCCTGCAAAGAGGAGGCACTGGCTGGCCTGGTTCTGGACAGGCAGGCCCTGAGCTGGGCCCCAGGAACCAAGCCCAGCAGACTGTGCCTGGGGACTGCTTGGCCCATTGCAGCCAGCAGAGCAGCCGTTCCCACGCACAACGGCCCTCCTCCTGCTCTGGCCCCAAGGGCACTGCAGCAGAAAAGGGCTTTCCCTCTGGGCAGCAGACCTGGGCACCAGCTGGACTGGCTCTCACCCTCCATGTGCCACCTCTGGCCTTGGCTGTTCCTTGGGTCACATGACAGAGCCAGGCTGGGGTTGGCTCAAACTCCATTCAGCATAAGGGCTAGAGTGAGGGACAAAACCACCCCCAGACCTCCTGTGTAAGAAACACCCGTGACACAAGCCAAGGATGCTGCAAACCGAACAACTCGGTGAGAACACGCCTCCGGCTGCCAAACGTTTCCTTGCCGCACTGCTCCCACTCCCACTGTCTCCCTCACATTGCCATCTCGGGCCCCAGGACCAATGAGGACCAGCAGTGGGAGGAGGGAACGCAACCCCTCCAAGCCCCCACCTCAACCCACACAAACCACCACACCCCCTCAACACACCAATAGTTCCTATTCCACCAACCTACCTTACGACCTTACTAGATTACAAGGATTATAAGAAGACCCACAAAAGATACACAGGGAGAAACATAAACAGGCAATGCATTCATCTGCCGCATAATGACACTAAGAGCAGACCAAGAGCACCATGGTCACTGATAACCTTACAGCAGCAGTAGGAAATTCCTACTGCTTGGTGATAACTCAACACACTATCAAGAGTGCTAGTAGAAACGAATCCTACTTTGCCACCAGTAGTATGAGAGAACAGTAGGTGTGTCTGGATGTGGCGGCTCGTGTCTGGAATCCTAGCAGGCTCATATGAGAAGGTCATCGTTTCAAGGCTAGCCCAGGAAACAAGCTCATAAGACCTAGCTAGGACAACCTTGCTCTCCTCACCCCCTTCCCTGCTCACATCTTTACCTCTATGCCTGTCCCTCTATGCCTCTCCCTTCCCTGAATCTCCATCCACTCTCCTAAGCACAAGTACAGCCCTCAGACCTATCCTTCTCCTCTCAGGATTCTTTCTAGATGTTCCAAACAGCACTGGCCTGATTCCTAGCACAGACCTAGAAGAATATAGACAACCCCACAGCCCTCCAAACTGAGGCAGTCATACTCATAAGCATAGCATCTCTATTAGGTACTTAGCAAACATTGCCCACTACCCTGTGCACTTCTCCATGCGTTTCTCATTCAACACAGTAACCCTAGCTTATACTGTTCAAGCTGGAGCTAGGGAGAGCTTTAGGACACAGTGTCATCTCCTGAGGCTTACACACAGTGGCTGAGGCCCAGACACCTTGAGTTCAAGTTCAAGTTCCATGTCTGCTCATAACACCTGTTAAGGTGCAGAACCTCCTTATGCCTCAGTTTCCTAATAAACAGGAGTAACAGAACTCTAGGTTTCTCTAGTGGTCTGCCAGCACTGTGCCTGGCACTCAGCGAGTCTAATCCACATTGGCCATGCACATGATCATCTCACCCCCTCCTTGTACAACGGTCCTAGAGCAGGAAAGAGCCATGGAGTTCGTGGCCCAGCCTGGCCATTAGTCTCCTCTTTCCCCCGCTGCAGACTGTGTAAAGCTTCTGTTATATTAGCTCTGAGGCCTGGCCTCAAGGTCATGGGAGGGAAGAACACAGGGGTGAGACCCTCTCTTTAGGCAGGTCACTGGAAGGTGAAGCTCCCTCTCTCCTCCAGGTGCTCAGGACTAGAGGAAGGTTATTGCCAGCCTCACCTCTGAGGAACCCTCATCCCATGCCCTCCTCCATGCTGTGGGGTTCTCTGCCACTATACCAGCCAACAGGAAGTGCCTTCTCCCTGTCTCCTTCCCACTGCCCACAGCAGCTCTGGGCAGTGCATCTCTCTGAGACCCAGCCCTTTCCGGCCCTCATGGTACCCTGGCCACTGTGTATCCAGTAAGCAAAGGAGGGTTGAGGGCAGGCAGGCTTTCAGCCCCCAGCTAAGTCTAGCCTTCATGAGTGGCCACAAGAATCCAGAGCTCCCCTAGAAGTGGACTTGGAATGTATACGCACCCTCAGAGCTGGCCCAGGGCTCTGACACAGGTTGTCGGAGTCCTGAGTTGGCCAGCTCCCACCCCAGGCCTCTTGTAGATGTGGCCTCTAGTTTGGAGTCATCTCTCTGGGTCATCTTTCATTCTTCTCTGCTGCTCAATGCCTACCTATGCCCTTGGCCTACCACAGGGCCCTGTTACTCCATCCAGCCCTGAGAACCACCTGGAGTCTTCAGACATCAGTGGCTGTGGCCACCTTTGGTTCTGATTTAATCAGCATGGATGGTGGCTGGAGTACATTCTTCTCAAAGTCCCCAAAGACAATGCAGTTCCTGCATTGCCTGACCCTCTAGCAGCTCCTGCATCATTTGATCCTCCATCCGTTTCTATATTATCTGACTCTCTAGCAGGTCATGTCTCCAGTCCTCTAACAACAGACTCACCCCAGCCCTCCAGCACACCAGTAAAAGGCTCCTGCCAGCACTGCCTTGCAATCCTCCACTTTAGCCAGGACACTCATGGAGCAAGTCTCTGTTGTCCTGCTGCAGCCCAGGGCTCAAAAGATGGGGCACTATTAAAAGGCACACAGCTCCTGCCATCCTGCCCCACCCTACCTCACCTTTCTCCTCCTAGACATAAGGATAGCAGTGGCTCTACCCAGAGACCTGACATTCAGGAACAACAGAGCTTGGAGGCAGATATCTAAGATCTAGACCCAGCCATGTGATCTGAGCAGGCATTCCCCTCTAGCACTTCACTTTGTATCTCCTAAACAAGACACTTGGACCAGATAATTTTTGGGTAGTCTTTGAGTCTCCTCCAGATCTGCACCCATCTGGGCCCCTGCCTCTGTTTCCCTAGTAGGTGGACAGACCTATACAGAGTCCACAGGGCTGAGCCTATGCTGGGTGGGCTGGGTCAGGGCTGAGCCTTTGCTGGGCAGGCTGGCAAGGCAGCCCTGACTGGGGCACCTCTCTCCTGGCTGTCTTCACTGAGGCACAGGACAGGCAACTTAAACTGCTACATCTAACTGGGCTACAGATCAGTGAAGCCTTCGGACACTGGGTGCTCAGAAAAGCTGTGAGGGCTCTAAGGAAATCATATAGCTCCTGACCGGGGAAGAGAGCCCACCCTCCAGTGACCACACAGGAGAGGGGGGCAGAGCCACCAGGCCTCCATGTCCTCTCAGATGGGAGCAGAGGATGCATTGCTTCCATGGGTCCCAAGGACCCGCCTGAAGCAGGGAGTTAGAAGCAGAGGTGATCTAGAGCCTCTGGGCTTCACAGATGCAGCACTTCTCCCTTGGCAATAGGAATCATTCAAGGGCATCCTTTAATGCCTGGGTCTGGGGTGCCATGGGCCCCCTGGAAGAGGCTGAGGATGACAACACCCCAAGACTGTGGCCATGTCCACCACAGGCACTCAGCCCCCCGGGAGCCCTGTGGTACACAGTCCTGGTGACCAGGACACCTGCTGCTCTCTGCTCTGACCTCTGCCCCGGCACTTGGAGGAGACAGTTCCACCTGACACTGACCAATGCTCTCACAGCCCAGCCACCACAGCAGCTGCATTTCAGCTGCCACCGGCCCAGGTGGCAACCCAGCAAGCTCCCTGGCCAGCTGCTGGCCAGGCCAGGCTCCAGCTGCGTCTTAGCCCCTTGGGGAGACAGGACTGCCACATCCAGAGGCAGGATGCAACAGCCCCAGAGCAGTGCCCTCTGTCATGCTGCAGAGTACAGAAGATACTGGGAAAGGTCACCTCCATGCAGGGATAGTGAGCTGCTCTGCGACCTCACTCACCTGGGGAGGAATCATTGAAGTCCAGCAGGCGGTTGGCCCTCTGGATCTTCTCCAGGCACACAGCTTGCTCCTTCTTGAAGATGCAGTCAGAGTGCATGGTGGTGGCCTGTGGGACACACAGATGGACTGTAAGACTGGTGGGCAGGGTGACCACCCATAAGGCTCCTAACCCAGGGCAGAAACCAGAGGGTACTGGGAAGAAACAGGAAAAGTAGAGCAGAGAACTTGTTCTAGGGCCAGGGCATCCACTCTCATAATTACTATGGGGTTCCTCTTGGTCACCAACACGGTGAGGCCAGCATGGACCCCACTCTTCCACATCGATAACCTTGGCAAACACCCATGAAGTACTCCAGCAGGGCAGGCAACTATTCTGAATGTCATGAGTGTGTGTGTGTATGTATGCACACACACATACACGAGCATGCACATGTGTGTGCATATGTGTAGGTGTATGTGAGATAGTTTGTATCATTGTCCATTTTACAGACATGGAAACAGACAGAGATAGGAACTTACCAGGCCTCACGGCTTAGAGGACTGGAGCCAGGGTGTGATTCTAGGCAGCCTGGGGCCCCCAGGATCAGGCAAGCAAGCAGGGGCTAGGCTGAGAGCATGCCTCTCCTGTCCTTTGGGGTTGCAGAAGGAGGAGGCATTCAGGATCCTCCTCTCATTTACAGAGGAGGAGAAATGATCTCAGAGAAGTTAAAACACCACAGCCCAGGTTACATAGCTCTTTCATGCCCAACAACTCTAGCTCAGAACAGGGGACTTCACAGCACACATCGCGATGATGGCCACTGCACTCGATGATGCTGTCATTTGAATCAAGGGCCAGGATGGCTCCATCAAGAATGTGCATGCGTGTGGAGGGGGTTGTGGCATCTGAGCTGCTGAGGGCCATGCTCTCAGGCTGCTCCAGTCCTGGAAGCTCACAGGTGTATAGGCAGCTCCCTGAAGGCTCTGAGTTTGCCAGTCACACAGGACAGCAACACAACAGGCACCCAGACTCCTAGGCAGGGTGGTGGGGCTCATAGTAGGGAGCCTTCACTTCCCACTTGCTCCTTGCCAGAGGGCCATCAGCAGAGTACTTCTCTAGAGTCCAGAGCTAGCAGTGCCGATGGCTGAGAAGAGGAAGCTAACAGAGCCTCTGCACCCCACCCAGGGCCTCTACATGCCATGCTGAACAACATGGAAAGGGTGGCCATCCATAGATTTGAAAATGTGGGCCTCTCTCTAGAGGTGGGGGTCCATCTCTAACTCCAAGATGCTGGGGGTCCCCAGAAGGTGCTGGGATGAGCATAACTGTGGGCACACAAATACAGGGTCTCTGGGATCCGGAAGAATTATGGAGGGAGGTTGTAGGTTCTTACCACAGGCAGTAGGAGAAGAGTGGCCAGGACTACCTGCAGGACACCAGCCATGATGATCAGCTAGGACAGTGAACTTGGCTCCCAGCAGCCTCAGCTCAGCCCCACACGCACAGGCTGCAGGGAAGGAAAGGTGTTGAGTCCTGGGGTGGCACCAGACACCTGCAACATACTCCCAGCCCCCAGGGGTCTCCTTCTGGGACCTGCATGCCCAGTTCTTGACTCCCCCAACCCACAAGCAGGTGCCAGCATTGAGTGCTTACTCCAGCAGACAAGCCAGCTCATTCCAATATCTGAAAATATTCACACTGACACAGAAAGAAGCATATGCACAGGGCTGGGCATGGTGGCCTGTGCCTCCGTCTAAGCTACTGGGGACATGGAGATCAGTAGGTTCACAGTACCAGTCTAGCCCCAGTAAAAATTTAGCAAGACCCCACATCAACATATAAACTGGGCATGGTGGCAGCTGCTTGTCATCTCAGCAATGGGGGTAAGAGCAGTGAGGTCTGTGATGGACAATGAGAGACCTTATCTGAAAAAATGACTAGTGAAAACAGGCTGAGGGTGTGGCTCAGGGATAGAGTGCCTGCCTAGCAAGAATGAGACCCTGAGTTAAAATCTCAGTGCTAAAGAAAGGGGGTGGAGGGTGGAGGGATGTGAAGCTATTCCTGCAGCATCATTTAAAATAGCACACAAGCCTAGTGTCTGTAGCTCACACCTGTAATCCTAGCTACTCAGGAGGCTATGATCTGACCATCATGGTTCAAAACCAGACAAGGAAGTCTGTGAGAGTCTTACTTCCAATTAACCACCAACAAGGTGCAATACAGAGCTGTGACTCAAATGGTAGAGCTCCAGTTTTGAGTAAAAAGCTCAGTGGCAGTACCCAGGCCTGGACCCGCACAAAAACAAATAACAAAACAAGATCTAGGACAAAGGGGCCAGCACAGAAGCCATCTTACATGCACTGCTGGACAGTGCTTGTTCGACCAATAAGAACGTAACAGCCCAAGTTGCTATTAAATTATTAAATTGCTCGAGAAAGGGTTAACATTGGGAGCACTGCTAACCCACAGAGTGTGATTTAGGAGGCCACACACAACTGGAGAGAGTCTTCTCTAGCACAACGACCAGGAGGCCTTGTACACGTGCCCAGCAGGCAGTCCTAATATTACTGTGGGCCCTGGCTCTCACCCTAAACAGGCCTGCCTCCCTCCAACTCCTGGCCTCCCCAGGCTGCCAATAAGCAAGCACCCAAAGAAGAAACAAAGACAGAGGCAGAAGGACTGTACAGGGCTATGCAGATGCTGAGGATGGTGCTCAGGGAATCCTGGGCATGGTGGCCAAGTACCTGGCTGTTTCCTGTAGCCAGAGGGCTGGGAAGGCAGAAGGATTTATTCCTCTGAACACCCAGCTATGTCAGGCACATGGGAAGTGCCTCCAGCTTGGCACTGGTGGGCACCAGAGGGCTCAGCCATCTCCATCATCCTGGGCTCTGCCTGGCTGGGGTGGAGCAGTGCCTGGTCCCTGTACCCCAGCAATGGCTGAATGGCAGCCAGGGGTGAAAGTTGCTGGAAAGGTGGAGATCATCTGAGATCAGGGTGCCTCCTGGACCCCTTGGACAACATCAGGTCACACACAGGAAAGTTGAGCTACTGGTCTCCAGTGACACCAGCACTGCCTATCCCTAGCTGGATCTCCTGGCCACTTGTGGCCTGGCTGCCCACTGGATCCCCATGCTCAGGGAAGCAGAGCCCTCTGCCCATCTGCCCCAGTTCTCCATCTCCAGGCAGCATCAGGAGGGTTGGGGTCATAAAGGTTTTATATTAAGCTTTGTTAGGACCATGGGGGAAATACAGAGTGAAAGCAGGAAGGGCTGGAGGGGGAGCAGGGGCAGGTGAGAGAAGGCTGGCTGCATTCTGAAGTTTCTCTCTCTCTCTTTCTCTCTCTTTCTCTCTCTCTCGCTCGCTTGCTTGCTCTCACATACTCTTTATCCTCACATACACACACCCAAATCCATAGAGATGAGCATATAGATGAGCACACCCCTCATACACACAGGAACACTCGCTGCAAACATCCATGATGAGGACACAAGACTCCACCAGGGACAGGCAGATATGTGCAGATGCCAATGCAGGGCAGCTGCATGTCCCTATGTACTGGCCAGCCTATGGGCCATGATGCACACCTCAGGTGGCGAGCAGAGGCACCCTTAAAAATCACAGCCCTGAGACACACTGCAGATGCACTCAGCAGCATGTGCAGTAGTAAACACACACGTGCACCCATGGGCACACAGGCAGGATGCTCACCACCATCTACCACCACAGCTCTACTGGAGCTCCACCAGCCTGTCACACCACCTCACCACCTATGTGCACAGAAGAAGTGCACTAGCCCAAGAACCAAGGCCTGCCCCCTGCACTGCAGTCCACCTCCACCCAGCAGCACAGAGCCCCCACCAAAGAGAGGAGACAGTCTCTAGGGTACCCCACCTTGGCTCCCTGTGCCCACAAGAATGTCTGGGGGCTCTGTTCCCTCCCACCCTGCACAGTGCCTGGTGGACAACTCTGTCCCAGACCACCTGCCCAAACACACTCGTCCAGGCTCTTCAAGGCACAGGCCTGTCTCCTCTTGCCAAGGTCAGCTTTCAGAGATGTGTGCCCTGGGTCTGTGCCCACTTGCCAGCTGCTCAACTCCGTCCTGGCTGTCTCCTCCTCCGTCGTCTCCCAAGGTGCCAGGTTTCCCACCAGGAGATGAGCCGGGCAACCATTGCCAGGGCCCTACCAGGAGATAAACCGGGTAATCGTAGCCAGAGCCCCATCAGGAGATGAACTGGGTGACCACAGCCACAGCTCTGTTAGGAGATGAGCCAGGCAACCACAACTAGGGTTAGACAGCACACGTGAGGACAGACACTGGGCTTGGATGGATGACCTGACGGCTCCATATATCCCCACGTGCCACCCCGTGGGTCCAGGTTCCACTTGGTAGTTGACTTTGAGGACAACTGAACTCTATCACTGAGTGTTTAGCATGATAGATGTGGGAACCACTCCCCACTTAGCTAGATTGTTTGGCCTCAGGCCCTAAGCAGGCTGTTCAACCTTTCTAGGCTTACCTGTAGATGAGGAAGGATAGTAATTCCCATCTCACACATGTGAGTTCAAGGCCATAGGAAATGAGGGCTATGGCTCTAACCTCAGCACTTCCTGCCCAGACCTGTTTCACTGTCTCACATGGGGAGAATGGCAGGGCTGCTGCATCTTGACTTGCCCAAGGGTGTATTTACTAAGTATTCATACTCAGTATAGGCAGGCACTTGCCATTAGGTGTATTTATTAAATACCCATACTCAGTACAGGCAGGCACTTGCCAGCTGTGTTTACTAAGTGCTCATACTCGGTACAGGCAGGTTCTTCGCAATGGGGTGTTCACTAAGTACTCTTAGTACATGCAGGCATTCTTCCAGGCAATAAATGTACATTAGCTCCTGAAACCTACAAGGTAGTTTCTGGCACTGTCCTTGTTCTAAAATAAGAGAGACTGAGGCACAGACAGGCCAAGAGACTGCCTGAAGGCCCCACAGCAAGCACATAGCAGGGCTGGACAGGGTTCCCAAGTCCTATGGCTGTGATGCTTAGATGGTTGCTCTCTGACATGGGTAAAATGAAGGCCAGCTCAGAGCCCACGGATGTCTCATCACACCCCTATCCCCAGGCCTGCTGTGGCCCTCCTACTCCATCCTGTGCCTGTATAGATGCAGACATCTATATCCTGAAATCAACTTTAAAGACCACCTCCAATGGGACAGGTGGGGAAACTGAGATCAGAGTGGAGCAGGTCACAGCATAGGCCCTGGCAGGAATGGGGTATGTAACAGATGCCTGAAATGGAGGAGAGTTTGGCAGGCAGAACAATGGCATACCCTCCTCTCCAACAGGGCAACCCAGCTCAGGATAGGGCAGGAGATGGTCCTATGATCCTGGCAGGCAGGGGTGCCCCCACCAACAGTGAGCAGTGACGGGTGCATCCTCAGTCAGCAGTCAGCGGATGGAGCCAGCGGTGACTCACCAGCCCCATGTTGGAGGAGGGAAAAACTGCAGACCCTCCAGCCCTTCCCAGAGAGTGCGTACCCCATGGCCACTGCCCTGTCCAGAGAGGCCCCCCGTAGCCAGGACCCACCAGCGCCTCCATGAGACCTTGGGATTTCTCTGCATCCCTCCCCTGGAGTGGCTCTGGGCTGCACAGGTCCCTCTGACCTGGGAAAACCTCCACTAGGGGCAAGGATAGCCCTTCTCTCTCTCTCCTGGCCCTGAGTGCTTATCCCAGCCCCTCTGCTGGGGTCTACTGGCTGCTTCCCACCATCTCTCTCTGAGTAGACCCAAGCAATGGCAGAGAGAACATGCAGGAAAAGGTCATCATCTCCTCTGTTCCCACCTGAGGCTTTTACTAATTGAACCAGGGCAGGACCCACCCCACTTCTTCTTACCCTTCCTCAAGCACTTTGAGAAGGATAAAGGATATGCATTGCCTCATGGAAAGGTGGGAAAGTTCTAAAACCTCCTTTGGGAAAGAAGCAGAAGGAAAAGCCAAGTAGGAGCCCTTGGCCCAGACACACAATGGAAACTGGCCTGGACAGAATGCTAGGCCCCTCTGGGACAAACACACCAGACAGGAGACCTAAGCTCCAGTGGGGAAGGAAGCATCCAGGCTATCCTCAGGAACCTGCAGCCCCCAGCACCAAGCCTCCTACTTCCTAGCCTTTTTCTTAACCTTATAGACCAGGAGTTGTCAAGCTTTTCCAGTTAACTCCCTATTTTAGTACAGCAGCCAAGAATGGCTTGTCTGTTTCTAAATGGTGGAGAATAACTATTTTAACCCTTTATTTCAGGTATATGCAAATCACCTTGAATTCAAATATCCAGCATCCATAAGTAAAGTCTGCCTGTACCTCTCTATGGGCATCTGTGGTTGCTTCTGAGTGACAGCCGCAGAAGAAAATCACTGTCAAGCAGTCTAATGGCCACAGAGGCTAAAAAAATTGA